CCCCAAAACCCCAAAACCCCAAAACCCCAAAACCCCACTGGATCTTTAGCTTATTGAAACTTATGAATAGTTATCTAAAATGGTTCATTACCATTTTCCGTCTTTAAAAATCTTTGGGGCGATAAAGGATAGGAGGAATATGATGGCCATAACCCATTGTCAGACTATCTTTGCCCAAAATCCAGCCCATTCGTCAAGGAAATACCCGTAGTGAGTGTGCTCTATCGTTGGTCTTCCCCAATTGGTGAGAAGCATGGCATAGTAGATGCTCGCGAAGATCATAAAAACTTGGAAGACGATAGTGGAGTGGGAGACAGGGAAGACGTTGGCTCTTTCTACCTCACCACCCCTCTTAGTTCTGTCCATCTCTTCGTCTCTATATTTTTCTTCAGCTACCATGTTTTTTATTTTGTTTTCTACATGCTCTTTCTGCTCACCACCTTCTCTTTTGCTAAAAGCAAGAATCATTAAGGTCGAAATGGTGAAGGCCAATCCAACAAGGATTTGAAAAACTGTTCCATGATTTCTTCCGTAAAAACGATTGCATTTCCAGGTGGGTCTTGATGCTAGAGCTGTCCAGGTCAGGTACACCAGGTACATAAGCATCACTGATGCTATGAAGAATGATGCGCTCTCTCTAGTCTTGAGGATAACCAGAAAAACTCAAATTACTGCAAATATCACCGGGATTAGAATTAATAGATTGTTGGCAAAACAATCGTGGAACCAAACGAAGCAGAGAATTATAAATATCACACTAATGAGTGTCAGCATTATCGCGAACATTATGAGAACGGCCTCGTAATTGTTTTCCTTGGTTGCTCGTGCTCTCATTGTGTCGTTGAAGACATAGCAGGCTCCTAAGATCACTATTCCTTGAAATAGCAGAAAGAAGAAACTGACCACCAGAGAAAAATATGCATATCCTTTAAAGAAATCGTTTGGCATCCAGAAACAAATGATGAAAGCTAAGAGTACTATAAAGAATTTGGTGAGCCATCATCCATCGTGGAAATAGGCAGAACAGTTCTGCTTAGGGAGTACAATACCAAACACCAGTATGTGGAAAAGCATCAGGACAAATGACATCCTAACTGCAGCACTTGCTCCAAATCATGCTGTGTTCCATTTAGAGCAATTAATGTCATCATGTGCCCACTCAAAGACGTCTTCAGCAGTATAAAGCAGTATAAATGTGACCAGCACCCAGAAGAGGGAGAAAAAGACGTATCCAATCTTTGAAAAAGACTTCCTTTGCGCTCCTAGTGACTTGCAAGGGCAACAGATAGTAACGCATCATGATTCACCTGCTCAACAAAATGGATGAGCTCAAATTCCTTTCATTTTAAGTAATGTTTATTTGGTGAAATCAGAAGAAACTCCTTTTATGGGGTTTTGGGGTTTTGGGGTTTTGGGGTTTTGGGGTTTTGGGGTTTTGGG